ATATATATATACATTGCAAGCTAACGTTTCTAATATTGCATACATTAGAAACTAGTCTGTAAATAAATAAAATAATAATAATTTTTTATAAAACAAAATTGATCTTAGAGTTCTAACTAATTTTATTTGGTTCATCATAGAGGTATCAAATTATTCCCACAAGTCGACTCAACCTAAACCCAACTCAAAAAATTTAGGCTTGGGTGACCTGACTAATATTCTGCTCGGGTTCAGGTTGACGAACCTAACCCGCTTAATTTTTTAGATCAGGTTTAGGTTGACCAGTCAAGTCTAAAATGACTCGAAATTAACCCACCAACTCGAAAATGACTCGAAATTGACCCGTCAACTTTTATTTTACTTAAAATCGACTTATCGATCCTGAATTGAGCAGAAATTGCCTTAATTTTAACCGAAATAAAAATTTTCCTTATGTTAAACGTGTCTGATTCATGTTGAAGTGTTGAATGCAGGTTGGGTTCGGGTTTGCGGATTATAGGCTGGTCGAGTTTGGGTTGGGAATTTCAGACCATATAATATTTCAATCGGATTTGGGTCATTTTTTTTTAGTCGGGTTAATTTCAAGTTGAACCGAACCCAACCCATTTACCCAAATTGACACCTGTAGTTCATCATTCTATTATTAAATAAACTAAAAAAATCAGTCCATCTCAAATGAAAAATAAGGGAAAAAAAATAGATATGAAAATACATAGAGAAAAATGGATTTTTTTTCCTTTTCTCATATTTATTTGCTATCTTATTTTCCTTATTTTTGAAAAGTACTTTTTTAAACATTTTTTTAATAAATCCAATATTTATAACTAATTGGTAAAACCGTATTCTCAAAACCAATACTAAAATTTAAATTTTGATTGAAAGGGGAAAGAAAAATCTATTACAAAAAAAAAATTAAATTAAATTAAATTAGGTTTTTTTAATTAAAGGAATAATTTTCACTACTGCCCATTAACATTTGCATTACAATCTTTTAGAATAGCGGTGCGTCGCGGACAAAAAGTCTCACATCGGCTAGGTGTATGACCAAAAAACAGTATTTAAGTCCTGAGTTGTCCACCACTCCGAAGAGCTCTTTTGGGAGATGATAAGTGGTATCAGAATAGATTACTGCCTACCAGGTGTGTGGATTCTCGATGGTCCAGTGGGACCCTCGAAGGAGCAGATCCGTTACGAGGGCGTCAAGTGATTAGGAGGAGGAGAATATCACGGACAACAAGTCCCACATCGGCTACGTGTAGGGCCAAAGAGCTCTTTTAAGAGGTGACAGATGGGTCAATTTAAAAATCATACGTGCTAAGCATTGGAAATACTAACAAGACGTGGTCAATTATATAATTATTTCAAAGTCGGGCCCGACTCAGATTATGACAAGCTAACAAACTAACATAATTAATGCTTTGAACTGCGTCCTCTTTCCATTAAATTAAAAAGGCATTTACATTCAGGCCACCCAACTTTTATGTAAGAGGTCATGCATGCACAAGAGAAAATAGTATAGATATAATATCTATTGATCAAGTTTGCATCCCTTGTTACATAGATGATAGATTTTCTTCTATTTATAGATGATTGTTTCTATAGTATAAGTGGTGTGCAAAACTATATATACATAAAACAAAATCATACAACAAATAAACAATCAAATATGGTACAATTTACGTGGTTCAGTGCAAATCTTCCTATGTCAACGGGGAGATTTTATTCCGCCATCATAGTGGAGAGAAGGAAAACAGAATGCCTAAATAGGATTACAACTCCACACATAAAACTCAACCATATTCTCTCTTATAAATAAGAGAGGATTGGGACATACTAATAAAAAAATGAGAAATTTATACCCTTTTACAAATAAGCTTCTAATACAACAATCACATAATCTCTCATTTTCAGATAAGTGGGAGATGACCAAAATGAGCTCCAACACTAAAATGACTACATCAAGTTAGTTATATAAGTACTCCCCCTCCCAAAGGGATCATGCCTTGTGTAGTTCTTCAAAATTTTTGAATGAGCAATAAAAATAAGTGAATGTTCACTAAATGCCTAAAATAGATGAACTTCTAGATTGGTAATACCTTTGTGAGCATATCTTATGCATTCTATTTTGTATCTATCATCTTCAACAGAATATTATATCATCAATGAAAAAGTAACATCTCAAATCAACGTGTATGCTAAGGGCATGATCAACTGGATTTGTGGTCAAGAATATTCTTACTTTTTCAGAGTTTCTGCAAAGACCTTTGATCAACTCCCAAGTCATTCAGTAGGCCCTAAATCCATATCGCTTCATTCATCGCCT